GCCCGAATTGCAGCATGGCGCCAGTTGTCCAAAATCCTACGGTACCAAAGGAGGGGTTTGGAAAAAGGGTGCCAGGCCGAAAACGGGATGCAGCCGAAACAGCAAAAGATAGACCGGGGATCGAGCCCTGGCGAAGTCCGTAACAGTGAGGGTGCGGATGAAAGGTTTAGTAATGCTGCTGTAAAGTTTGACTGCTTTTGCTGTGATGGCTTTTGGTGTTGACAACTTGACACTGCTAATCTTCCACTGAAACTCGGCGCTTTCTTTCACATTTTATCCTGTGTGTTGCAGGAATGAGGATGTATTACTTGTATTTGCTGCTGGGAATCAGGGAGAAAATGGATCGTCGACAATTGCCAGTCCTGGCCTTGCCAAGAACTGCATCACTGTAAGTAGAGCTGTGAGGTTGGTTTGTGTGATGACATGCATCTACCCCATCTACCCAAGTGCACACGGGCACATATGTCCACGACCTAGTTCTAAGAGACAGTGCACAAGGTGCATACGCTGCAGCAGCAGAACTTTTGGATGATGTGGAAGGCAATGCAGACGATGTGTTCTCACATGTTAACCATGACTCAATGCAGTAATTCATTCTGGCAGCTGACTGGAGTCTCGGCAAGCAGACAGGCTCTTGAATTGGGGCCGCAGAGCCCCCTGGATGTCACGGTGTCCAATATATACTTGCAGATGATGCAACTTTGCGTGAGTTCAAGTGTCATCATCAAACTATGTGCTGTTCTATAAGAAAATCAAATGGTATGAGTCGGTCTTTGTCTCAACAAGTGGGCTGGGCTGTTGCAGGTGGGGGCCTCATACAATGCAAAACAGTCGTTTGAGAAGCTCGAAGGTGGAGCAGCAGAAGCCCGAAGCATTGCCACGGTTGCACCATTCTCTAGCCAGGGTCCTACTACTGATGGTCGGCTTAAGCCAGATGTCGTTGCCCCGTGAGTGCCAGTCTTCCCAGGATTTGATGTCCTGTCCATTGCCTGTCCTTCTGTCCTCCTTTCCTTCACTTGTGAAGCTCAAGTTTTCCAGTGCTTTACTGAAACTTCTTTCATGACTGCGTTTTCCATCTGCTCTTTGTCATTTCATGGCTCACCTGTTGCTACCCCCTTATGTATCTTTAGCTCCTGCCTTCTGTCTCAGCCGCCATTGCATGGTTCTCCATGGGTTCTGGAAGACCATCCTTTCCCTTTTGTGACACATTATGCCTTGATCGTCAGCTCAAAGTGCCTCTTTGCTCCCAAGTGCCCGCTGTTCTTTGTATTGTAGGCCTCTGCTGCATTTTTCAGCTACTTACTCGATCAAGTCCCTTGGTTAATGATGAAGTTGTTTATCAAGTCTGTTACTCAATCAAGTCCCTTACTCTGCTGGATACGCCTTTCAGAGTGTTTTTTGCCTTTTTCCCCCCCCAAACTTTGAAACACAACATTGTGTCCCCTATTGCTAGGCTGCTGTCCTCCTGTTCAAGTCCTGTTGTAGGCTCCGTGTAAAGAGAATGCAGCAGTCTTGCACATTTTTCTCTGGCATGTTTGCATCGTCCATTTTGGAAGCATTGGGCCATCGCTGCAGCCGCACAAGTTTTCAGGAGCATAGGATGCCACAGCCAATGTGAGAGAACAAAAGACTTCAAGCAGGGTCTAGTGATCTGTCACATTGCTTGCTTTGGTGGTCAGTCGTGTGTGTGTGTGTGTGTGTGTGTGTGTGTGTGTGTGTGTGTGTGTGTGTGAGAGAGAGAGAGAGAGAGAGAGAGAGAGAGAGAGAGAGAGA